GAAAGTCGAATGAAATTGGTTACAAACTTATTAAAATCATATAAAAATAGGGCATGGGCTGAATCGAATTGGATTTTAGTCAGATTTTGGCAAGGTAACGGTTTCGCCTTTCGATATGACAGAAGCCCACATCTTTTGAAAAAAGGTGGATCAAAATCATTTCAACAAGAGTCAATTTCTCAACCTAGAAGTATGTAATTTTTGTTTTCAGTAAATGCCTTAAAAATTGGATGATCAGTGAGTTTACTGATCTCCGTTCTTTAGAACCATGTCCATCCATTGTATACCAAGGCCACATAAGGGATGTGTTATTAGAAAATCTGCAAGATACAACGGCGTTTTTAAATTCTTTACTAAATCTATTAAACTGGACTTTTTCGGAATTTATTGGAATGGTGCAAGAGATCCATAATGTTTCATCAAGACCTGAAAGAGTTTTCATTGAATCTAGACAATTAAAAATTTGCGCTACATGTTTTGATTTAACGATTTCATTGTTGAGAGTTTTGGAGATGATCATCACGGTGGTTCCAAATATTTTCAATAATGCATCACAATCTTTCAGTGAAAATTTATTGTTCAGATTGTGCCAAGTATATGTTTCTAAATTATTTTTATTTTTGTATTTTATTTGATATATAATTATTATTATATTTTTTTTAGCTACTTTGTCAAGTTTTAAACAGAATCAGTTCACAAACTAGTTGTTTCCGACATGTTGTATTATTGGAAATCCCAGATTTAGAATCTGTAGATCATTTTCCAATACTTGCAGCTGCTACAGGTATTTTATTTGCTTTACTGAATGAAGATATGATCAACTTTAAATGTAAGTATTTGTTTTAATTGTGACATAAATAACATATATTCTTATTAGACTTAATAGAACTTAATAGAAATCAAATATGAATATTATTAGCAAAATACGAAAAGGAGGTACCAAAGATTACTCAAACTTTATTAATAGAACCAAGTTTTCAAATGAGCACTCTATATTTCTTATTAGGAGATTCAAAACATGAAGATAAGCAGGAACGAAATATAAAAAAATTTTCCTTTTTGAATTGTAAGTATAAATAAATATTTATTTTGATGTTTGAAATATTATAAAAAATATATTTTTATGTAATTTTTTAAAATGAAATTTTTATAGATTTATAATATTTTTATAGATCCAAGTGATGTAACAGAGGAAGAAATAAAAAAAGTGAAAGACATGATTGAATATTTAGATGAATGTCGTATTATTTTGCCAAATTCAAAAATTTCTAGCGATAATGGTGATACTTGTACAATATGCTATGCACAACCTATAGCAGTAACTTTTAAACCTTGTAATCATCAAACATGTCGTATTTGTATTGATCGACATCTCTTAAACAACAGATCATGTTTTTTCTGTAAAATAACAATCGAAAAAGTTGTAGATCTTTCTGGTAATATATTACACGACTTTACTCAAGATAGTATATCTTCAAATTAATCCATGAAATCGTCTTCATAGATATATATTACGAATTATAGTTTTTTGTGAAAATAATTGTAAAAATAAATTTCTTGTAAAAATTATAACACATTTTGAAGAAAAGTAAACAAATTGTATAAAATTTTATGTATAAGATTTCATTTATTTAATATTATTTTTTTTTCGAAAATTTATATATATGCAGTACAAAAATAAAAGATTACAAATTTTAGTTTTTAAAAGTTTTTTGTTATAATATAACAGACAATATAACAATAAAATTTGTATATATATCAGTCTTTCTGATTTTCTATAATTCTCTAATTATTGATATTAATGATAATTAAGATAATATATCAATATCTGTTAAAATATTTATCTAAATCACAAGAGAGTAATAAATCACAAGTATAATGAGCAAAATTTTAAAAAGTTCCTTTACTTATAAAAAGTTTAGGAAAATACTTTTATATAAATTTTTTTATAATAGATTGAGTAAAATATACTAAGTACATAAATTTTTTTTTAAATGTTTAAAACCAGTAACTAATGGAATTGTTTTAGATGTTATACTTAAATCTTCTATTGTTTCTACAAATATAATTCCAAATAAAAATGCACCAAGCGCAATGATAAAAACTGCAAAAAATATTAATAGTCGATCTTTGTTTAAATGTAATTCTGAATCTTTTAAAAGTATACATTGAAACAAACAAATGCCTGGAAAAATAAAAATAAAAACTGCCGATAAGATGCCCAATAAATTAATAACTGGCGAAATGTCTAGTACTAATATTGCAATTATTAAAGATAATATATACCAAATCAATGTAATAAAAACTCTAAATTTAATAGTTATATTAATGTTCATTCCTAAAAGACTTAAAAGAGCATCACGACCACAATACAAAACAATTGGATATGTAGTAAAATTTTTAATTGCTATAAATATAATGCCTAAAGTAAGAATTATACTTTTATCTGTATATCCTTGAAGAATATCACTGGGCACTTTATCAATACCAAACGTTGCATATCCAGAAATACCAACTACTGTATAAATAATAAAACAAATAATCATGCTTATTGTAGCACATAATGTGAACTTACAGAGATTTCGCTCTTTCATGCAAGCATACATTGGTATTGCTGTCATATGATTCTGTAAATATAATATAAAAGCAATATAATTAATTATAAATAAATTATTATAAAATTATTTATAAAATTATTTATAAATCAAAATTATTTTGTTTCTTCCATTTTTATAATAATACTAAAAGTATAATACCTGATATGCAAAACAAATTATTGGAATTATTTGAAGTGCTTCAAGTTTATTGTCTGGCCATATTTTCATAGGATTAGGAGATTCAGTGTAAGTAAAACTTTTGTAGACTATCAATAATACTACATATAAAATAGTTATGCATCCAATAGAACTAGTATAACTTAAAACATCCAATCTTTTGAAAAAGCATAAAGGTAATATAAATAAACTACATGTTATAATTGTGACAAATGTTCTGGATAAATACCTAAAATATTAATTTTAGTAATAAAAATTAATAATATTAATAAATATATTAATATTCATTAATATATTAATAATTATATTAATTAATAATTAATAATATATTAATAATAAATATATTTTTCAAATATATGTTTTGATTTTTCAATTACCATGTGTGACAATAATCAAATCCATAATATGTTGATAAAATTCTATCAAACTGATCACCAACAACTATCAAAAATGTTAAACAATATCCAAAACTATATATTATAATACAAAAAGCACATAAGAAAAATGATTTTTGTCCATAAAAATTAGCGAACATATCTTGCATACAACAGGTATTTGTAATATCACTACAATTAGCTAAAATTATAAGAGCAGCAGTGATAAAGACAAGTAGTATGAGTTGTATACTAATAGATGTAACCAATCCTCCAGCTTTATCAAAGGCTTGTGGAAAATTTAAAAGGCCTGCTCCTAAAGTAGCATTGACAATTAAAAAAATTGTACTTATTACATTGGTTCCTGTAAATAATATAAACAATTCTTGTAAAATATATAAAATATTTGTTTTATTAAATTTTAAAGTATTATAATGTATAAAATATTGAATTAAAAATTATATTATATTATTATATTATTTTTGTTCTGTTACAAATGTTTTATACTATTATAAAAGCAAAATTTACAATTAAATATTATAAGAGTAATAAATAAATTAGATAACAAATTAATGATTTATTTATTATCATGTTATTATTATATATTTGAATAATCTAAAATTAGAAATAAATATAAAACATAAATTACCTGATCGATTATTATTTCGATTATTATAAATAGATGAAGGACTTGGTGCAGTACATAATAACATATCATTACTAATAAGTTGTTCCATATCCCCTATTAAACAATTCATGTTTGATGATTACAAACTGAACGGTTATTTTTGATTGACAACCTATTTAGTTTTTATCTAAAAATGATACATTTCTTTAAGAGAAAACAAAATATTTATTAATAATATTTATAATTTAATGATTTAAAAGTTAATTTAAAAGTTATTTCAGAAAGATTAATGTAAGATTATTACAAAAAGATTCAATATGTTATTGATATGACAATTTTATTAGTTGTAAGAAATATTTGTATATTTATTTTATTTACATTTTAGTGATGAACAAGATTGCTAGCATACGGAGCAAAATGGCCGGCAGTGATGTATTATGTATATCATGTGACTTCGTGTTAGGAGAATCATTGTAATTGTTAAAATGACAATTTATTCGATATACAGTATTGCTTTTCCATTATCTTAATGTCCCATATCATATATGTTCTCTGTCAGCCATTTTGTCTGTATGCATACTGGCAACTCTCATCAGTGAATTTCAAACTTTTTAAATTTTAAATTAAATTATTAGATCCGTATGATGGCGCTGTATTAACTTTGTTACAAAATTTAAACACTTGTTAGATAATAAATTATAATACTATAGATATTCTTTTTTACTTGCAAGTAATTAAAAGATAAATATATATTAAAAATTGTTATTATTTTTTAAAATAATATTATAAATACATGAAATTTTTTTAAATTTTGTCTTCTAAAAAATTTTTGCGATATAATAAAATATTAAAAAATTTTGTTTTTAAATAATTTTTCAAATATAATTTTCCATATATTGCAATGATTAAAATTTAATGATTAAAACGAAATTAAAAACAAATTATAAATAATTAAAAATATCTTATTAAAAATATTAAAAAATATAATTATAAAATTTTTTTAATTGAATAAATATATGAAAAATAATAAAAAAGATATAAGTAATAAAAGTATAAAAAAGATATAAAAATATATAGTCTGTATTTATATAAGTAGTTTATATATTATACATATTTCTATTATGTATATATATAATTTATTATTATATAAAATTATTATATTAAAAATCACTAAATAAATATTTCAATTATATGTATACATATATATGAATACATAAATAAATCATAAAATATGTATAATGAATATTTATATGCAAAATTTACAAAACTTTGTACAGTTTAATTATACATTTTGTGATATATTTTATAATATAAGAAATAGTTTTGTAAAAAAATTAAGAATTGTCTAAGATTCAGGAACACTTGTATATATTCGTACACCATGCATATCCTTAATTTCTTCTTTTAGAGCCTATAAAAATAATTATAATTAAGAAAAAAAGATTATATATAATTAAGAAAAAAAAATACAATATTGTTTTAAGACTTTTTTACTTCATTAATTAATCGATGCTGCTTAATAGTGTTCAATCCTTTAAATTCTGGTGCTACAACATTTATTTCAAACATTGCACCACATCCTCCTATAATAATAGATTATAAATATTTCTTTAAATTTTTTTAAAAATGAAAAGAACATCTTTAAATTTTAAAATAAAATATTTTTAAATTTAATAAATTAATTTTTATATATATATATGTATTTTTATATATATATGTATTTTTAATATTTATCATATTATTATACAACTAAAAAACAATTAGTCCTTTAAAACTAATTATAATATTGATACAATTATAATAATACTAATTATTTGAATGATAATACAAAATCTCAAATGAATGAAATTAAATTTTTTTTATATTTTATATATAATAAATATATTTAAATGATGATATAATATATTTTAATCCTTTCTTATAATCTTTTTACCTGATACATCATTTACTTCTATAAGTTTAGCTTTAGGAAATTTGTTTCTTAAAATTGATATCATTTTTTGCTCAGCATGTTTGCCAGCCAATGCACTATTGGGTCCGTTCCATACTCTCGATAGAAGCTGTAAAACTTTCATTTTATTTATCTTTTGCATTCTTGAAGGGATTGTATTATTTATTTTCTATGTTAATATTTTGTAATGGAAATAGGATATTGAAATAGAGTATTGGAAATTTCTTCAAACTTGAATAATAAATATTTAACGAGCTGGTTTCGACATTTTAATGAAGAAAATATGTATTATAAAGTTTCTCTCAATTATGAAGCAATATGTATAAAAGTAAACATGCACTTATGTGAGAATGTGTTTTGTACCTACCGAAATATTACGAAAATTTGACATAAACATACGACCAAACATAGTTATTATAATAGATCGCGTTAGATTAAACTTCGTTTGTTTCTTTATTTACAATCTAACGCGTGACAATTTTTTGCTGAAAACAATCAAATAAAACGATAGCAACTACAAGAGCATGAGTACATGAATAATACGAATATTTTACTCAATCAGCTGACTTCTAACTATAAGTCTATGATAGCGCCATCTATTTAATTCTACAACATAAAAAAAGGAAAAATATATTTTTTAAATTGTTATATAAAAGAAGTATACATAAATTTACTTGTTTTTATTTAATATTATTTATATATAAAAAATGTATGAGTTAAATATAATATTCAAAAATTATATATTATAGTTGAATTTTTTTTTTAATTTTATATAAATTATTTTATTCATTAAAAATCACATTTGATCAATTTTAACTATATTCATAAATAAAAGTATTAAATATTAAAAATTGAATAAAAGAGAAAAAATATTAATATTGTCAAAATTAATGAATATTAATTAGAATATATTTTTTATTTCTATGATTAATTATTTAAATTAAAATATTAATTATTCACATAAAAATAATATAATATTAATATTTATGTATATCCATAATTAATATATAATATAATATAATAAAACAAAAAAATTAAAAATTTTGTATTACTGTGCAAGACGATAAAGATAAAACTAAAAATATTAACTATTAAAGATATATATAAATATACTGTATATTATACAGTATAGTTTTTTGAATTGATATTTTTGAAAAATATCTATTCATTTTATAAAAAGTGAGGTTAGTCTATTTATTACTTACTAACTTAACTTTCGTAACTATTCATTTCGTAAAATTACATGCTATTTTTACTGCATGTTATATCACAACCGGCATCATTTTCATCTCTGTATCTAAATAAATCGTGTATTGATATTTTAATATTATATTGTTAATATAATCGAAATAAATAGATTTATCACAAGAAAATGTTATCTCTTTTGATAATTTGTAATTATTTACATAATAAAGCCCAAGATTCGTAATGATGCAATTAACGTAATTTTTTCTAGGATTTCGTAATTTTCATTAAAAGCCTTTGTCACAATAAGTGCACAAGTAATGTTATTCTACGGATTAGATCTAATGAATGATTCGCTAGTTGTAGATAAATGCGCATGTAAACATATATATTACAAGTGGAAATCGAGAACACGCGCGTATGCGCACGCATCATAAACTTGGCAGAGGATGACGTAGATTAACACGGACTCAAGTGTAACCTTGATCCGTACATTGCAGCCTCTCTCTCTTTACTCTGCGACCCCTGATCATATTATTTTATCCAAACTTAAGCACTTCAAGAGTGAAAACTAAACTCATGTACGACGCGATGGTTTTTATTATTGTTCAAAATTTCTGCTTATTGTAAATCTCATGATATATTGCGAGACATTTATAAAGTGAAATCATTTCACCTTACGCTTGTTCACGGTTTCCCGAAGGGATAGCGTACCGTGGAATAAGGAAGTGGCAAAGATATTATCGATTCGCTAGAGCTCACGAGTTAACGGTTTGTTTACACGAGCGTGGGGGAAAGTGCGCATGCGCGACAGAACCAAAACAATAATAAGAGAGTAGAAGGTTTGTGGCTAACGGACGAGCGGTCGCTCGCTTTGGGTATCGAACGTATTATACCCTTTTAATTCTTATATATAATCAATCGAACGATAAACGTTCAAGTTCTACCTCTTTAAAAACAGTTATCTAGTGATTATTCAAAATATCATCATCAGTAGATTCCTTAGTTCTGTATATACGTGGAGCCGGAGCCAAACTTACGTCAAAACGTGTATTATTGTGCAACGTGTGCTCGAATCGACATATAATAAGATCGAAAATAAAACGATATTAACATTGAAATAACTGTGATCGATTTAAGAAAGAAGACAAAAATATTTATATATGTTAAATCAATTAGCGTGTGTATATGTTGCATTTATGCTCGAGTGAGTTATATATTTGTTAATGAGAATGTATTCATTCAATTCTTCGAAGTAAAGCACGAACAAAACTTGATGATTCGTTCAACATTCGAGAAAAGGAAAGGCTTAAAGAGAGGGGGAAGGATAGGTGGTGCGTATTTACACAGTGAATCACGCGTTCCATGATATTACGAGACGCGGCTGGTAGTTTAGGCCATCTATGTTTACACGAACGTTTCTAAATATGTTCGTAAACACTAAGTATGCATCAAAACGAAATTAAGTATTCAGATTGATCATTTTAAATACTTATTAGATCGTGTATTAGTTAAAGACGAACATATTTTACTTTCATAAAAGATACTTTTAAAGAAAAAGAGAAAAAAAAAATATATATTTGAAAAATCTTTGTGCAGTGTGAAGAACGTTTCGTATGTGTATCTACGAAAGGAAAAAGAAGAGAGAGGGAGAAAGGAAAAGAAAGAGAGAGGACAATAACACGTTGGCCGAGAGCGCGGCTTTATTGTGTCCGCTGCTCGCCCGTATCGCAGACGTGGAGGTGTAAACACGGCATTCGTGTTATTGTCCTTTTGTTCTCGTAGCCGGTGAACGGAGGAAAGTACGCCATGCCGAGTGCTGAAGAAACAACGTATTTGATCGAAGTAGTGCCAAACACGACGCAGGACTTCCTTTCCCGCGACGTGGACCTTCTTGTATCGCAGATTAAAGAGAATCTTCGACTATCCAGCTTGAAAGCTAAGTCCAGCATTAGTCATAAAAATCGACCATCGCCCTATCAAATACCATCGAGATCGTGGGCAGATCCGAATAGTTGCGATATATGTGGTGCGAAGAATACCGGCAGTCACGATCATCGTCATCATTTAAATCATCATCATCATCACCATCATCATCATCATCATCATCATAAAAGATCCACTACGAGAGATGATGATCCATATGAGCTTCTACAAGAATTGCTTAGGGAAGGTGGATTAATAAAAGAGGCTGTGAAGAGACTTCAAGCGAATCTTGTTGATTTAGATAATTCTGAAGAAGAAGAAGATGACGAACAATCATCGATAATTTATCAAAGAAAACCTTACTTCTATGATTCTGAAGATGAACAATTACCACCAGTGTGCGAGCCGCTTGAGCTGTGAAACTGAATTATTGTGTAACCGGCTTTGACCGGTATAGGATTTAAAGAAAGATTCTTGGTGTACTTCACGAGTAAGAGTGAAAAAGTTCAGAATTCTTTATTAACAATTATTCTCGTTCCTCGATTTACCTCTTGATGATATATCGTGTGTATATATGTGTGTACACGCGAAAAAGTGTTATCAAGAACATTCGCCCCCTAAGTGAAGCATGTGTAGCTTATATCGAAAGAAAGTACAACGAGGTAAACATAATTAACCAAGAACTCGCCTTACATGGTCGTGTTTGTAAATATGGTATGTTGTTATTCGAAGCAGTTTCGCAGCTTCGTGTAACTTCGGTTAAAATCGTCAGCATATCGACAATCCACGAAGCTTACGTGGAAGACATGGCTGCCTCGATTCGAGCCCTCGAATTCGATTTACATGACAACAAGGTTTCGTTTTTTTAAGCTACGAGTTCGTCCTTCTTAATAAATAAAGAAAAAGAAAAAGAAGAGTTCCTGAATATTGCTCGTGTCCAGGGTAATAAAAAATGAAATTCTGGAATAGTGATTGATGATTACGAAACTGTTTATAACAATTTGTTTTCCTGTAGAAATTTTCAATTTTTCGTTTATTTTGATCATTTTTTATTTTTTTTTTTTATAACTATGCAAATTAATAATGATAGTATACAGTTAATACAATATAACTAAAAAAAGAAAACATAAACAACGGTGTGATTTAATATAAATTGACAGCATAATAATTCAGCATAGTTATTTAACGCTTATTTAATTCGTTTGTTACCTTTGTTATATGTATATATTATAGTTTTTTTAATAGCGTGAAATACTGAAAAGAGCACGCGTATGAACGAAAAGTATCCTATAAGATATATTAGTTGAAAATTTTGCTCGATTTGTTCGGGCTATTATGGTCCAGTTACTATTAGAAAAATTAATTAAATGAATTGTCTAAGAAATCAATCAACGAATTATAGAAACGCCTTTGCGCGCGGAAGCGTCGTAATTCGAAGGATAGTGATCTCATTTTTGTTTTATTTTTTTTTCTGAACAACGAACAGGTTATTCGATTGAGATAGGATACCATTTATTAATTCAATATATGTATATGTATACTTTCAAATTAAGTTGCACGCACACAAATTATCGCCATTTTGTGCGTTTCAAAATATTTAGTAGATTAAAAAAAAATAATAAACTGGCTTAGCATAAAACACAAGTACGTGAATTTGTTATATGATCAACAACATAGTAGATTTACATTCGCTTCACATTAAGTATATACATATATAGTTATTTATCACTATCGATCGTTAGCGACGTAACAAATGCTATATGCGCGTGTAAATTTGTTGTACATATATATATGCATATTGGGTGCACATGGGTGTTCGGTTTAATGATAGAGTGATTCATTTTACGATATCGGAACTGAGAAGAATTCGGATAAATAGATTGTAGCATGTTCTCTGCGAGAAACCGACGAAATGGAGGCACAAAATTACGCACTGTGTCATGTTACGTATTGTACAAATGTTAACTAGTTCATGACTACAAATATTGAGTTAGATCACAGTTCTGATGAACTGTGATAACGTATATGAATGAATGAATGAGAAATCAATGCGTTTTTTCTTTTTATGTCTCTATGTATGCATATGCAATGAATGATTTGCGTAGGTGTGAGTATGCAGATAATGAAAGATTTGTCTTTAAATTTACCGTTAAAGTGTAAATTAAGGAAGCTATATACCTCGTTGTGATGATCGGATTTGTAATCCGACGAACCTTAATTATGAATAAACAAATAAAAAATTTCATTTTAATCTTCTTATATTTTTTCCTATATTATATTTTAGAAATTTTTAGAAATAATGTTATATTTTAAATTATTTTATTTTCAATTATCAACTTTTTAATTTATATTATTTATATTATAATATAATAAAATAATAATATTAATACTTTAAAATATATTTCAATAATTTTAATCTAATTTTTCTCGTATGATAAAAAGATATATCATCAAAAATTTATTATAAAGAATTATATAATATATTAAGATTAATCTTGATATATTAAAAACACATTTTATATGATATATACAATATACAAATATATATAAAGATACATTTTTCATGAAATGATGAAATGTTATTGATGAAATAAGAATCTTTAAAAATAAAAAAAGATTATAGATTTTTTTTTGAATTATTGATAAACTTATCTAAAATTATTTTTAATATATTATATTTAATTGCTATTTATTTCTAAAAGTGATTTTAGTAATATATCATAATATTTACTAATATATCATCAATATTATGATATATATATATATATATTTCGTTAAATGTCAAATATTTTTATTTTTATGATTAAACATAAAAATAATGATTTTAGTAATATATATAATATGTAAAAATTATTATAATAATACTAATATAATATAGAAAAATGAATTATGAAATATTTAAAAATTAAAATTTTTAATTTTTTTTTAAATATTCACTATCAATATATAATTTATAAATAATAAAATTAAATAATATCGATAAATTTTTGCAATCATTTTCAACTGTGATTATAAAAATAAATTTATTTACAAATGATTGATATTTATTTTATTCTGGGTTTATTTAATGAATATTACATAACGAATACTGTTTTGGTATGAAGAAATAGAAATAGAAAGACACAAAAAATAAACGACATGTTCATTAATCTATTCTATTACGTTCATTGATACTATCATAACATGTTTAATAAAGGACATTGAAATATAATACAAAAATTTAAAAGGAAGGATTGATATATTTCTTGATATTTTAAATAATGAATGTAACTGGATTCAAACGTTTGCGTCACCTTTTAGAAATAGATGATAACGGAAATCGGTATACGTAAACGTATGTGATTATAAATAGTTATAGTTAAAATTATTCTTTCTGGCGTAAGTAATGTATATATATAATTCATGTACACATTTAATGATTATCTTATATCTTAGATATTTGATTTTCAATTAAAAATTCGAAAATATATATATGAAGAATTCTCTAGTGAATTATTATATTAAATTATAATCGTTTATCAATTGTTATGAAGCAGTTATACACAAAGCCATTTGTAAATAAATAATAATTAGAAACTAAAATAATGAAGATCAACTTTGTATTAATAAAAAAACATGTCTTAAAATAATCAATTACATGATCTAATTTCAAATAGTGTCATGTAATTACACAATAAAATTATTTATTAAACAATGTTTAATTGATTGCATTACAAAACAGAAATATTTTTATTTATATATATATATAAAAGATTATATACATATAATTTTCAGTAAAAAAATCGAAATAATAAGAATAATTATTCATTAAAATTTAATTCATTAATAATAATTTATCTTAATCATTAATTAAAAATTTAAGATATAAATTTTCAAAATAAAATGTTGAATTATTTATTACTTATATTTATAAATCATAATTTAGGGACATAAATATAATTCTTATGTATCAATTATATTTCTATTTGAAGTCAATTCAGTATATTTTATATAATAAATTGGATATACATATGATATACATATATGATATACAAAAATATATCTAATGATGATAAAAGCAAATCACTTTATATTATTACGTGGAAATTAGAAATATTATTATTATTGGTCCGTTATAATTCATCACGTGATTTTTCATATTACAGTGTAGATAAAAGATAATAAAGTGGGTCGTGAATCCTGCATTCGCGTAGTATTTTTATAAATATTGATAATATTTTCATAATTTAGATATTATACAAGTCATTAATTTCGTAAAAATAAAAACTTCATTCAACTAGTATTGAAAAAAAATAATCATCAACAAATTGACAAATGACAGAAATTAATATGGCAGATTCTACATATTTGTATGTATAGATAATTTATTGATTATTATTATATATGTCTGTTATCAAATAGAAATTAAGTATGTTTAAATATAAAATATATAATTGTTGTAATAACATCAATAAATAATTCGTTCATTATATTTTAAATATTTTATTACTTATATCTTATTCTTATCTTATCTTATTCTTTATTGTATTATAACTTGTTTTATTCTTATTATATTTATACAATTTATTGTTTTATTAAATATGATTATTAAATATAACAACATATGTTTTATTCTATAAAAACAATAAATATTTAATGTACAATAAATATTGAATCGAAAATGTAAAATACAATATTTTTATATTATAAATTTTGAGGTTATGTGAAAAAGTATTTTTTTTACGCAAAACATGAATGATAATCTCATTACCAAAAATTCTATGTTAATCGAAATGATATTAATATTAGTTTCAATTTATAATTAATGTTAAATTGTATTAAATAAAAATTTTAATTTTTGAGATATTTAAATTTCTTTTTTATATTATTTTATAAAATATATAATAAATTTATTTTTTAAATGAATAAAAATATTATATATATAATTGATTAGTTACATATTCACATATATATATACAATACAATATAATATTTTATTATTATATTTATATATTAGGTTAATTTTATGATTCATTTACTTTTTTTAATCAGTCATAATTTATTAATTTTTAATTATAATATATATATATTATAATTAAAAATAACTGATTATATATTGATGTTAATTATATTATCAAATACTGATTAGAATGAAGATATTAAAATTATAATTTTAAAATAAGTTTTTAATAAATCTTATAGTATTATTATATTCATGAAAATTCTAATTTGAAATTTATATTATTATTTTTTGTTTTTTTCTTTTTATAATAAAATATATTATACATTTTTTATTAAAATTATTGTCTGTGTTTAATAAATAATATTATGTATATTTATATATAATGCATATTTTTAATATATATTTTTAAATTTATTTATAAGTAATTATAATTAAAAAAAAAATATACATTTAATTTTCTTTAATGTATTTGTTTAGTTGTAAGCAAATTGCATATATATTGAATAAATTAAGAAGAAGTTATTATCATTGTCAATTTAAATTATTTATTTTCCTGAAAATATCATTTTTAATTACATTTTTAATTAATTACAAATTAATAATTGTATTAGTTTTTATTAATTAATTTTCATTTTAATTATTGTTAAATATATTATAAATTAATTATTTAATAATTTATATATATACAAATAATATTTATTTATAATTACTTTTCTATATATTTTTTTTATTTTGTGATTTTTTAATATTGAAGAAAATATTTTTAAATATATAAAAATTATATATAAAATTATATATAAAAATTAAATAAAAATTATAAAACTTATTATTAAATAATAAAATTTTAATTTCTTTATTTTATTTTTCTATTTGACAAATATGAAAATACTATATTTTAGGAATGGAATAGAATCTTGCTTCCAAAGGGGAAATCATACTTTGAAAGTACCCATGTCTCTTTTCCAAAACAATCGCAAGAGATTAATTGAACGTATTAAAGCAAATAAAAAAGTACCAGACACAGGTACTTTTATTATTCTTGAAGGAGGAGTTGAAGTTCCATTTAATGATACAGATATACATTGGCCATTTAGACAAGTAAGTAAATTATTAATTTTCATATACCAATATTTTGATAAATATTTTTTTTATATTATTTTTTTATTAGGAGTCATTTTTTCAATGGTGTTTTGGTGTTGAAGAACCAGGATGTTATGGTGCTCTTGATTTATCAACAGAAACAACCATTTTATTTGTGCCAAGATTACCAGCAGAATATGCAATTTGGGAAGGAAAATTGCATAATCTAGAAGATTTTAGAAAACGATATGCAATAGATGAAACTTACTATACTGATGAGATAGCTAATGTTTTAAAATCAAAACAAGCAATTCTTCTTTTAACTTTAGTAATTTAGTTTTTAAAATAAACACTTTTTGCTTTTAAATTTTTTTAAGAGTTTGATATATATATATATATATATGGATGGCTAATATAATTAAAAATAAATTTTTTATAACTTGTACAAATGTGTAATACAAGTTATCAAAATCTTAATATAAATTTCAATCAATAATTTCAATTTTATTTTGAAATATTGAAAAATAATGCTGAAATATATATTCTTATACATATTTAAAAAAATAATTATTGATATAAAGATTTATGATACAAATATATATTATTGTCATTTGAAAGTAAAAATTAATAACTGTATTTTAAAATAGTAAATTAATAAAATTTGTTATCATAATTTTAAAAAATAGATTTTTTTATATTTTTTTTGGAATTTTATATGGTTTATTTGGAATTTCAAAAGAAGAAATTAATATTATAATTTTTTTTTTATTTTCGAAAATGCTTTACAGATTTTAATTATCACATTTAATTAATTGGACTTAAAGAAAAAGAAAGAAATAATAATTATATTGAGAACTTCATAGATGTAGAATATATGAATATAAATGTGTATCTCAATTGATTATATTTGCAAAAAACATTAGTGAAAAGTTAATTTTTTAATGCCATCTATATATATGTAGTCTTTTTAATAAATAATATTTAATAAATAGCTATCTTAATATAAGTTTATAAAAATATTTATATTTTATTTGTATTTTTAGAATGGTCAAAATAGTGATAGTGGTTTGCAGACGAAAGAGGCAATTTTTGATGGTATTGACAAGTATGTTTTACAATTCTTTTTTACAATTTTTTTAATAAATTTAAAAAATTTTTTATCTATATTCATTTATATTTTACAGATTTAAAGTAGACAATAAAATCTTATATCCAGAAATATGTGAATGGTAAGTATTAAATAAAATTAATTATTATATTATATATTAATGAAATAATTAAACTTAAAATTTATATTTATATTTCAAAATTAAATTTATTGTATAATATATTTTAATATAATTATTCTAATATAATTTATTATATATTATATTTAATATTTTATTATAAAACTGATAAATTATAAAAAAAGATAAGAATTTATTAAATTATTATATTTTTTAAATCTATTTTTTTATATGAAATTGTTTAAATTTTATATAATGTATTATTTTTTATTATTTATTTATATTATTATATATTTATATTATTATTATTATTATATATTTATATTAAATTTTAGAAATAATTTTACTATCGAAATTTTATAATTATCGATTTGTTTTATCAACAATCGATTTATTATAATCGATATGTATCGTAATTATTTTCCGTATATTTGTCACGAGTTTTTTATATGAAGCCTTTTAATAATGTCTTTTATAAACTTAAAATCATTAAATTGAAAGTATCATTGAAAATTGTTTTAGAATATAAATATTAGTTGTATAGTTATTTTAATACAAAACGAGAAATTTTACTATATTTTAAAAAAGATATTCCTTGCTGCTTCTTTTCATTTTATAATTAGAGAAGGTACATTAAATAAAACATGAAAAATTTATTGTTAAACATAATCTTATTAGATGCTTGTATGCTCTATGCAGATGATACTAGCTGGTCATATATGGGCAAAATTTTTAATGCGAATGCACATACAATCCTCTACTTTAATTTCTAAATTTATTAGAAGATGGTATGAATCCAACTCTGGGAAATATGCTGGACAACAAAATCTAACACAAACTAGCATTTTTATAGAAGAAGGATTAGAAATACAAGAAGTGCCTTTAATTGTTAGAAAAATCAAAGATATTGAAACAATATGTAATAGTAAAAATTCAAAAAATATCTCTATTGTTGATAATTGTTACAAGGTTTTTGATATATCTAAAAAGAATAATTCAATTACATTTAATAAAAATAATGCCAATTCTAACAATAATACTGTGAAGAATAAACCATTAAATCGAAGAATAGATATTGAAACGGATGAAGGAACTGCAATATTATTTTGTTCAGATCTCGATTATTTCAAAGATTTGGACGTAGAAGGAACATTAGAGGGATTACATTTATTTAATTTAACCAATGGTGTATATCCAATGTTAGAAAACAAAATTTCACAAGAAATAAATTGCAGAGTAGCTTTGGAAGGATTAAAAAAAGTTATAAATTTAGAAAATAATTGGTTTAAACAGAAATCTAACAAAATGCAAAAAAGTAGGCAATTTGATGTTGATAATACAACTAGAGACATGATAATGAAACAATTGATTAAATTAATTATTAATAGTAATGATTCTGAAATGATAATACAAGGACTTATAGCTTTAAAAAAAGATAAAATTAGCCCATCTAGAAATATATATAGAGACTTGATGTGTGATGAAGCTTTAAGTCGAGCAACAGATGGAGAGTTTTCACCTGCACAATTAATAAATTTGATAAAAATTTTATCATCTTATAAGGATTCTAAATATCGTAAATCAATAGATACATTATGGGTTGGTATTTTGCTTCAAGAACAAGAGATTAATACATATACATTAGTAGCATTATTTAAACTATTAAAATGTTTTAATCAGAGTAAAAATATGGTAAAACTTATTCTTGAAAGAAAACTTTCTGACTGTTGGTTGAAATTAACTGGCACACAAATTGCAGAAATATTAGATTGTTTTCATGATGATAATTCTGCAATGAGATGTTTAATAAGTGCTAGTAAATGGGCAAGTGTAAATATGAATACATGTAGTGAAAAAGATTTAATAAATTTTATACATAGCTTACATGTAAAAGATTATATTGATGATAAAATTGAAAATACTTTACAAAATTATTTGAAATCTAAAGCATCACATATTGATAACTCAAAATTAATAGCCACAATAATGAATTATTGTAAAGATTTGCAAGTCAGAAATGAATGCATTTTATCAGAATGTGGAAAATATTTTATCAAACATGCAATGAATATATCAACTTCTTTATTGCCTTCTATTCTTACACCATTTGGATTGTTATATGTGCAACCACCAAATAGCAAAGAATTTTGGAAAGTTTTTGATGAAGTTTTATCTACAAAATTTCATGATTTAAAATTAGATGATGCTTTAGATATTTTTCTTTCTTGTACTTATTTAGAAAAATATCCTGTAAAATTTTTTGATAAAATATTTATCTCACAATTGCTACATAAAATTCATTTAAGAAATCATTCTGTTTTCTTTAATCGTATAAGAAATAAATTGAAATTATTAGATACTACCATGTTTTTAGAATCCAAAGAATATCAATCTTTGTATTTTCCTGTAGAAAGAATAGAAAAACCATTATTTTTAGATGCTCGAGTTAGAAAAGCAGTCAACATAATATATCAACCATTGGCATCTTTGGTAGGGGGAGAACAAAAATTGAGTAAAAATGTAATTTTGAATCGATTACCGCTTATAAATTTCTATGTTCTTGATATTCTAATACATCCACGCATGGTATCAACATCAGTATTTCATTTGAATTTAGATCAAGAAAGAAATGTAAACACTGCAGTTTTTATTTATTTACCAGAATATTATTGTAGAAATTCACATCATTTAATAGGACCTCAAATAATGAGAAAAAGGCATATTAAAAAATTAGGTTTTAAAATTATGACATTAGATTATGTAACAATTCAGGAACTTTGGAATCAATCTAATGAATTGTCATCTTATTTATTAAAAAGTTTACATTCCGCAGAAAATGCTTTATAACAAAATGACAATATAAAATAAAAAATTCTCTATTTTTGATAAAAATTGTAAAAGTAATCTATAAATCAAATACATTGTACAATGTATAGAATAAAAATTTTTGCAGACGAAAGCTGAATAATTTTTTATAAAATAATGAAAATTATTAAAAGTTTTTATATTATATAATTATATTATATTATTATATTATATAATTTAATGTTGAATTGTATATTATTGTATGAATTAATATATAAATTATAATTAAAATATATTAATTATATATTAATATTATTATAAGATACAAATTATAAAAAAATATATATATTTTTTTTTCTTTATAGTCGAGTTATAAAATCTCCACAAGAAATTGAGGTATTGGAATATGTAATTAAAATAAGTTCAGACGCTCACAAATCTATTATGCATATGGTAAAACCAGGGCTTGCAGAATTTCAAGCAGAAGCAGCTTTTATGCATTATGTATATTCCATGGGAGGTTGTAGACATGTATCTTATACTTGTATATGTGGATCTGGACATAATGCTTCTATATTGCATTATGGACATGCTGGTGCACCCAATAATAAAATTATGAATGATGGTGATATATGGTAAGTTTTGATATAATTTTTAAAATTTAGTTAAATTTTGAGTGCAATTTTAAATAAAATTAATTTCAGATTTAAAATCCTATTATTATTTTATATGCTACATAAAATAAAAAAAGTTTCAAATCTTTTTTATAAGAAAATAATAAAATACTATGTTATAAAATTTTTTTTGCAAACTAATATTTTCTTGTATTTTATAAGCCTTTTCGACATGGGTGGAAACTACTGTGGATATGCAGCTGATATTACATGCAGTTTTCCAGTGAATGGAAAATTTACAGAAGATCAAAAGATGATATATAATGCAGTATTGGCTGCTCGTAATTCAGTAATGAATGCTGCAAAGCCAAATGTTGCTTGGACAGATATGCATCTTTTAGCAAATAAGACTATGTTAGCTTCATTAAAGAGTAATGGTTTGTTAGTAGGCGATATTGATGAAATGATAAAAGTAGGATTGAATGAAATTTTCCAACCTCATGGGCTTGGACATCTTATGGGATTGGATGTTCATGATGTTGGTGGATATCTTCCAGGACATCCTGAACGTTCATCGGCTCCAGGTCTAAGAAAATTGAGAACTGGACGTGTTTTGCAACCTGGTATGGTTTTAACAATTGAACCTGGTTGTTATTTTATTGACTGTGTAAGTAAAACATATGATTGAATCTTAAGATAAATAAAATATTCATTATAATTTTTTAAATTTATGAATTTGTAATGTTATATACAATTAATAATAATAGTACAAAATTTTCAATTTAAATATATATATATATATAAATGATACGATTTTTATTTTATGAAAAATTATACATTTTTAGTAAAAACATTAAATTAATTTTATATATTTTTTATATGGTTTATAATTGATATAAAATATGATCAATTATTTAGTTATTAGATGCGGCATTGAAAAATCCAAATCAATCAAAGTTTATCGTTATTGAAGAATTAAAAAGATTCCGTGGTTCGGGTGGTATCAGGATTGAAGATGATATTCTTATAACAGAAACTGGTGTAAAAAATTTAACGGATGTACCTCGCACGTAAGTTTTGAACTAGGTTTAAACTGTAAAAATAATATATATTTTTTAAATTAAAAATTTATAAAATTTAATTTAAAAAAAATTTAATTAAAGTGTTGAAGAAATAGAAAAATGGATGGCTAAGAAAAATTGAAATCAATTACCGACAAGAAAACTCAGTGATAAAAATCACACAATGTATGCGAATATTTAATTAAGAATTTTATGTAAAGAATCATTATTTACATATTGTTTATGACATAAGATCAATTGTGATATAAAGTTATAAAAATATTTTTACACGAATTATTTATAATACATATAATATAAAATTTAATTTTAAATAAGTTTAAATCATTTCTTTATAAATTGTATATAAAAAAATAAATAAATAAAAGAATATTATTTGTTACAATATTATATGTTACAAAACATTATATTTCTATTCTGTTAAAAAATATTATATCGTGTTCCTTTTTTTTATTTGAAGAAATATTTATATATTATATATATATAAATATATATTTAATTAAGACTGAAAAGTAATAGTATTAAGTATAACCTTGGATGCGATATCTTAAGTTTATTGAAAGAGAATTTGAGCGCTGTTATTATCGGATGGTGTTACAGTCATGATCGCGATGTGAACGCGTGTGGTTTTCTTCGTAGATATCCTGAGAACATTGAAAATGATCGAAAAAATATATACAATATAATACAAGTATTATTTTATTGTAAAGTCTCATTTTATTTTCTTCTTTTAAATGCTTTTATATGTGCATTAGTGGTACGTATATTTTAGAAATTATTTATAACTTATGTATATAAGAATTGATCTATAATATGTTAATATATTTTGTAATGAAAATAAATTTTTTTTATAACTATAATTTTGAAAAAGATTTAAATATATATTAAATATTTAGAATTGAATAGTTGATAAGTTATATATTATGAATTTTCAAAAATATATAATGAAAATATGCATTTATATATTATTTAATTGATGAAATTATTATTATTAATTGATGAAATGAAACAAAATTTCTCAATAATTCTTATTTAGAATATTGATAGATTATCTTAAAATATTCTATTTTTTTTTTATGTAATTTAACTTTGAATAAAATTTTTGAAGTAATATCTATATTGCATATTTTACATAATTTTATATTAAGATTTGAATTACGAGAAAAAAAAAATAATATCAATAGATAAAATCTTTCTTTTATATATAAAAAAAAAATAAAGAAAAAAAATTAAATTTAAAATTGGAATGAAATTTAAAAAAACAAATATTTAGATTTTAAATTAAAGTAAGATTTTAAATTAAAGTAAGAAGTAATAAATTTGTAGACGAAATATGACTTCCTTTTCTTCTTAATGATAAAGATTCATAGTGTGTATTCTGTTGTCGACATTAAAAATGAAAAAGGATTGAATACTTGTTGATATAACCCGTCTTTTCAAAGAAGACATACAATATAATGATATCTGATAAATTGTAATAAACAATTAATTATCAATGAAAAGTCACTAACCAATGATTGAAAATAAAAATTTTATATGCAATGGAATAAAAGATTTATACAATAATTTAATTACAATTAATCGAATTATTAATAGATAAAACATATGATTATAAAATTTTGAATAAATAAATTAATTAATTTAATTATTAGAAATATTAAAATATATAATTAATTTAATTTTTAATAAATCTTTAAGCAAAATTAATAATCTTAAATGTGCAATTTTTTTCTAAAATTTTCTAAAATTAATATTTATTTTAAAAAGAAACCAAATTATCTTTATTTTTTTATTTATTTAGGTTTTATTTATTTTATTATTAGGTTTTATTTATTTAGGTTATTGCAATTATAATAATATAAATAGAGGATTAATTAAATTTTTGAAATGGAATAATGGAAAAAAATTATTAAAAGATTAAATAAATATTTTATATAATAATTTGAAATCTAAATCAAAATTTTCTTTAAAATTCATTAAAGATTTAAATAGTTATAAATATAGAAAATAAAATTTAATAAATGAAATAAAATTTATTCATAATAATTTCATTATGGAAAAATAAAACCAAAAAAAAGAAACTAATCTAAATAAAAAATTTGATAAATTTTAAATTAAAGTAAAAAAATTTAAATGAATTTTACTATTTTAAATATTTCATTTTAAATTGTAAAAAAATAATTTCAATTAAAGATTTACACTTGACATATGTTATTCACCCAGAAAAAATAATAGTATAATTACCTATTTATTATTTCTTGTTTTCTCCACAAATTATTATTTTATGCGCATATTAATTAAAATTCGAATTCAGTAAATACATATATATAATACATATACAGTTATTCACAATATTTGAACGAAATTCATTTAATTCGAAAATTTTAATTTAAATAGTATGCATGTAAAGTATAATATAGGTTACATATAAAACAATTTTTCTTTGATAGGAAATTTCTTTGAGGAAGAAATCAAGTGAAATCAAGTTTCCAATCAAGAACATGATACAATGTTATTTGGTAATTTTTTTTAGTATAATGCGCTTTTCATTTTTTTAAATGTAATGATGCGAGATAGATACATATTAAATTTTATAATTATTATTAGTTTTATTATTAGTATTATTATTTACTAAATAAAAAAAAATGAATGAATTGATGTCCAATATTTAAAAAAAAATTAATTTTCATTAGTTGTTTAATTTATTTTAAAATTTATAAATTTTGTTATTATTTGAAAATTTTATTCAAAATTCTGATAAGTATTTTATTAAAAATTAATAAATATTATTTTACTGTGTAAAATTATAAAATGTGAAACAAAAATAACAAATATATAATTACAATTTAATTTCTTCGTTACAAAATATAACAAAATACAACAAAATACTATTATAATTCTTTAATTAATTCATTAATATTTAATTTTTTTCATTAATTTCATTTTATTAATTCATTAATTCATTAATTATTATAAGTGAATTCCATTGAAATTCGTAAATTTTTCAATTGATTTTTTTTTTTTTCTTTTAATTTTTTCATTGCGAACATAAGCTTTGTTTTAACTTATAAGCGATCAAGCTAAAGGTAATCGATGAGGATCATTTACATCGATTTCTATTACGTAGAAGAATGAGGAAGTTTTATAAACATGAGCCTTTGACGCAATGTAAATATATGACAGTCAGCTGCATCATATGACCGGAATAGTGAGTAGTCGAACTCGTCACGAGGTTGCGATGTCAATGATTCGAGATGTTAAACAAACCTCCACTTTATATGATCGGTTGGACACGATACAATAATCATATTCCGAATCTTATAGTATTAACTTCATTTCGCTTATCGTTACAATATAATTATAATTATATGGAATATATCGAATTTTGACAGAATAAATTTG